GGGGATTCCCTTCGACTCAATTACGACGTTGCTCAACTTCGCTTTGGCTGGCGCGCTGAGGAGGTCCCTGGGAAAGGGGGGAGCTTCGACGAGCCCAGGGAAAGGGGGAGGTAGGGAAAAGGGACGACAGAGACGACGACCAACGAATGACGCAGATGACGACTTGAATGGACAAGCCCCTCACACACGCCGGCAGGGTCGGCGGATTCCCATCTCCTTCCTCCTCGCCCTCCTACCTTCTCCTCGCCCGCCCTCTTGATCGGTCGTGGAGGAGGAGGAGGTGGAGGAGGACGTAGCCGCCAGCAGGACTTCGAGCCCACGACCTTCGTGCCGCGAGAGAAGGACAACGAGAAGGGCGAGCTGGAGAGCGCGTCGCTGGCGCAGGCGCAAGTCAGGCGCGATCGACGGGCACCGCCGATCGCCAGCACCACTGTGAAAGGCGGGTCGAGGGTCGAGAACCCGAGGGGCAGCGTTCGGTTCTGCTCGCGTCCCCCTCGGGGCCGCGGGCCATTTATCGAGTAGGGGGTCGACTTCATAATCTATGTACCCGAGTATGACATTCTCATCGAATCTGCACACAAAATACGCCGAAGGGGTTCAGGTCTACGAACGTTCGACGTTATAGATCACAATTATGTACATACAAATTCTGTAGTCGATCACTCGAGTCGTCGTCGTCCTCATCGTCGTAAGGCCCGATCGGCAGCGCCAATGGAGCGACTGGTACCAGTCGAGGCATCATGGGGAAGGGAGAGGAAGAAGAATAGCAGGATGAGGAGGAGGAGGAGGAGGAGGAGGGACCAGGTACAGTTAAAGACGCATAGGGGGCAAACCAGCGGCGGCGGCATGGCCTTACCTGAAGATATTGGCACGCGGCGAGCCAGTCAGGCTCGAGTACCTGACGAGCCTGGGGCATCCTCCTGGCCCCTGGGTGCGAGCAGGTGCCCGTTCAGCAGGGACTCGCCGTCTCATCTGGAGCCAACGTCAAGGATTACCCCCGATTTCGTAATGAAAGGGAGGGGGTCTGGACCCTCCAAGACAAGCCATTTCAGACCTCCCCCGTGGGAGGACCCTCCCAAACCTCGTCCCCGGACCCCCCGGGCCCTCCAAGATGGCCTGGAAGATACCCCCCCCGAAACGAGACCCCCCTCCCTTTCTTACGAAATCTGGAGTAGGTTGTTGCTGCCTTGCACGGCGTTGCTGCAGGCTGTTGCTGCCTTGCTCGGCGCTGCTGCAGGAGGAGGAGGAGGAGGAGGAGGAGGAGGAGGAGGAGGAGGAGGAGGAGGAGGAGGAGGAGGGAGGAGGAGGAGGAGGAAGAGGAGGAGGAGGAGGAGGAGGAGGAGGAGGAGGAGGAGGAGGAGGAGGAGGAGGAGAAGACCCAAGGAGGGGGGTTGCGGCCGGGCTGCCGCTGGCCGAGCAACGGGGGCCCTGGGGCGGGGTCGCCGTGCCGCTGCTGCAGCAGGCGCTGCTCCCGCGGGGCGGGGACAGCGCTTCTCCCGAGCGGGGCGGCTTCGTTGTTCGATCCGAGGCCCGAAAACCACCACTTCACTAGTTTTGGGCCCCAGGGCCCACTGAAGCCCCAGGGGCCCCAGATTAGTGAAGTGGTGTTTTTTCCCACGTAAGGGCCCCGAAATCCATCACTTCACTGAACGGAGCCCAGGACGAGAGTCAGGGGCCGAACTGCTGCTGTGATGCAACATCGGTCTCGTATTCGATGTGTTTTCTCGCTGACTGTCGGCCTCATTCTGTTTTTCGTTCTCGTTTGGCACCCGTTTCGTTCGAAATGTTCGGCTTCGTTTCGGTTTTTAGATCCGTGAGGGCTTCGCCCCCTGCCGCCGGCCCCCCGTCTCGGATCATGTGAGATGCAAAAGCTAAATCATGAGGTCTGGGCGCCGCCGTGAAGCAGTGTCGGGACCTGTTTGTCTTTCGACCCTGGCCCTACGGATTGGCGTGAGGGGTGCCGCCGAATTTCAGAAATGTGGCAAATTCCTTATGTTTTTGGACCCTGACCCTACGGATCTGCGTGAGGGAGGGATGCCGCCGAATGTTAGAAATGTGGCAAATCCCATGTGTTTTTGGACTCCGACTCTGCCGATCTGCATGAGAGGTGCCGCCGACTTTCAGAAATGTGGCACATCCTTTGTGTTTTTGGACCCTGACACTGCCGATCTGCGTGAGGGGTGCCACCGAATGTCAGAAATGCGGCGAATCCTGCGTGTCTGTGGACCCTGACCCTCTGGATCTGCGTGAGGGGTGCCGCCGAATTTCAGAAATGTAGCAAATCCCTTGTGTTTTTGGACTCCGACTCTGCCGATCTGCATGAGAGGTGCCGCGACTTTCAGAAATGTGGCACGTCCTTTGTGCTTTTGCACCTTGACCCTGCCGATCTGTGTGAGGGGTGCCACCGAATTTCAGAAATGTGGCAAATCCCATGTGTTTTTGGACTCCGACTCTGCCGATCTGCGTGAGAGGTGCCGCCGACTTTCAGAAATGTGGCACATCCTTCGTGTTTTTGGACCCTGACACTGCCGATCTGCGTGAGGGGGTGCCACCGAATGTCAGAAATGCGGCGAATCCTGCGTGTCTGTGGACCCTGACCCTCCGGATCTGCGTGAGGGGTGCCGCCGAATTTCAGAAATGTAGCAAATCCCTTGTGTTTTTGGACTCCGACTCTGCCGATCTGCATGAGAGGTGCCGCGACTTTCAGAAATGTGGCACGTCCTTTGTGCTTTTGCACCTTGACCCTGCCGATCTGTGTGAGGGGTGCCACCGAATTTCAGAAATGTGGCAAATCCCATGTGTTTTTGGACTCCGACTCTGCCGATCTGCGTGAGAGGTGCCGCCGACTTTCAGAAATGTGGCACTGCCGATCTGCGTGAGGGGTGCCACCGAATGTCAGAAATGCGGCGAATCCTGCGTGCCTGTGGACCCTGACCCTCCGGATCTGCGTGAGGGGTGCCGCCGAATTTCAGAAATGTAGTAAATCCCTTGTGTTTTTGGACTCCGACTCTGCCGATCTGCATGAGAGGTGCCGCGACTTTCAGAAATGTGGCACATCCTTTGTGCTTTTGCACCTTGACCCTGCCGATCTGTGAGGGGTGCCACCGAATTTCAGAAATGTGGCAAATCGCATGTGTTTTTGGATCCTGACCCCGCCGATCTGCGTGAGAGGTGCCGCCGAATTTCAGAAATGTAGCAAATCCCATGTATTTTTGTCAGAAATGTGGCAAATCCGATGAGATTTTGGACCCTGACCCTGTCGATTTGCTTGAGGGGTGCCGCCGAATTTCAGAAATGTGGCAAATCCCATGTGTTTTTGTACTCTGACCTGCGGATTTGCGTGAGGGGTGCCACCGAATGTTAGAAATGTGGCAACTCCCTTGTGTTTCTGACCCTGCCGATCTACGTGAGGTTAATCAATTTTTACCCCCCCCAGCAATTCAGACGATACGATTTCACAAGGGGGCCGGCGGATATTGTTGTCCTCGGTCCATGCCCCGCTCCCTTTTTGTGTCAGGCGGTTCCGTGTCAGGAGGGGGAGATGAGGGGATGCAAGCCCAAGCGGGCTGCTTGGGCGGTTAAGATCTGGGACAGGCTGGGGAGGGGTGAGTACAAGCATGTGGACATGAATTTTGTGCTGCACGTGCATGACACTGCCCAGGTCACGCCGCAATCGCCTAGTTTCTTTTGCGTTGCACGCGGCTGGATCAATTGCGCGCAGTGTCTTGCCCAGGGTCGAGGGGGTCGAGGGGGACGGCGAGGGGGGAGGAACGGCGGAAGCAGGGAGGGAGAAAGGGAGCGAACGAGGGACGATGAGGGGAATGAGGAGGAGGGTGCCCCCCTCCCGTTCCTCCGCTCCCCCCGATCGCCGCGATGATCCCGCGCTCCCCCTCTCCTACTCTGCCTCCCCAACTCCGCCCCCGCAGGCCTGGCTTCGTGCCGTGGCGCATCTTCTGCGCCGCCACCGTGCTGCTCATCTGCCTCTGGTGGTTCGCCGGCGTGTTTGTGCTGCTCGGCTCCTTCGGCATCGAGGTCCTCTGGTTCATCCGCCTCGGCTCTCCCCCTCCTCCTCCTCCTCCTCCTCCTCCTCCTCCTCCTCCTCTTTCCCCCCCTCCTCCTGTCCTCCCGGTCCTCCCCTCTCCCTCTCGACCTCTTTGACCTCTTCCTCGGCGACTTCAGGGCCCGTGTGCTGCTCTCCTCTCCCCCGCCGTGTCGTCTGTGCGGGGGCGCCTCCCCCTCTCCCGCGCGTGCCGCTGCAGTGCTGGCCGCCTTCCGGGATCGGCGCCCGGCCCCCGCGGTCCGGGCTTGCGCTGTCGCCCCAGCGCGAGACGCATCTCTGGGTCCGGTTCGCTCGTTGCTCTTGCCACCCCCCTCCCTTCTCCGCTCAGGAGGGAGAAAGCATACAGACACAATTTTATCGCCGATTCCCAGGACAATGTGGAAAGATATAGGAACTGGGGGGGGGGGAGACAGAAGCCCAGAAAGCATTGGAAAATATTCGGAATCCTGTTATCTGTGTCTATTTTTTTGTGTGTCCCAGGGCCCCTTCATCCTTCTCCGTCCCCCACCATCCTCGGGTCCTGCTGCTCGTCCTGCTCCGGCCGCATGGGGGCTCTCTCCTCCCATCCCGTGGTCCTGTCCTTCCTCGTGCTCCTCCTCCCACGTGCTTCTCCTTTCGGGTGTCGCTAGAGATACCCCTGGCCCAAGGTGCCCTCAGCTTTTCGTTCCATTTTGGAGCACCCGGAGCCCTCCGGGCCTCGTGAGGGGTGCTTTGGAGGCCGTTCGGGCTACTCCGAGAATCCTGGGGGCACCTTGGCACAGGGACACTTCTAGCCACACCCGATCTCTTCCCCGCCCGAAATTCAGAAGGCCCCATTCCTCTGGCTGCGCATCACACGACCAGGTCACTGTGGCCAGCCGGCGGAACGCATACGCTTCGGCGCAGCGGGAAGGAGCGGGATGGAATGGTGGGATGTCAAATTTGGCGCTTGCCCGCGCAC